ATCAGCAGGGCCGGGCTGCAGAGCGGGGCTGGGGTGTAGGGAAGAGGGTGGGAGGGAGGTTTTGCACATCAGCAAGTTCCTCCGGTGCCGCCCCAGGAGCTCACAGAGCCCCGGCTCTCAGGGGCGCGGGCCCCACGACTCGCAGCGCCCATAGCTGGCTGCTGCGGGGGGAGGTGGGCTCTGCAGGGCCCCCTGCTCCCTGCCGCAGCGAAGCACCCTCAGAGCAGAGCTTCACCCACCCCGGGAGCGTTTTGTTAATCACGAAGCGCAAAGCGCAGCGGCTGCGACGGCTCAGCAGTGCCCCGTCCCTGCGTCCCGCCTGCCTGAACCACGGGGCAGGTCTCGCCACGCCGCCGAGCAGCGCGCTCCGAGGGGACGCTGCAAGGACGGCCCGTCACGGCGGCGGGGCCCGGAGCAGCTCGAAAGAAAAGAGGGAGAGGTGGGCTGCAATGTAAGACCCCCCCCACCTCACCCTGCGCAGGGTGAGGAGCCGGGGAGCCAGGGCCCTGCACCGTCCCCCTCTGCGGACAGCGCGGTAACGGGCACCCTTCTCTCTCGCAGGTACATCGGGGCGCTGGGCGCGAGGGTGATCTGCGATAACATCCCCGGGCTGGTGAACAAGCAGCGGCAGCTCTGCCAGAGGTACCCCGACATCATGCAGTCGGTCGGGGAGGGAGCCAAGGAGTGGATCCGGGAGTGCCAGCACCAGTTCCGGCACCACCGCTGGAACTGCAGCACCCTGGACCGGGACCACACCGTCTTCGGCCGGGTCATGCTGCGAAGTAGGTTCTGCCCCGGCCCCTTCCCACCGCCACGAGCCTTGGCTCCCTGGGAGAGTCTCTCCTCGCTGGGCTGCCGTGCCCGGTGGCTTGGATTACTCCCTTCGGAGAGCTCTGCCTTTCCCTGTAAATTAATCAAGCAGTAATGGGAGCAGAGCGCTGCGTCCAGACTTGCTGCACCAGATGAGATGGAGCAGGGGGAGCACTGGGGGAGAAGAGGGAAGGAGGAGACACCTCTGGAGAACAGGCTCATATGTAAACAGTAATGGGATATATAAATATTTGGAGAGCAGGGTTGGCCAAGACTCAGCAATTCACGTGGGAACTGGCTGTTCCCTTGCATGGCAAGGGAGGCAAGGCAGAGCCACGGCTCCAGTCCTCGCTTCGGGCTCGGGGGCGGAGGAGGACCACGGCTGCGGGGCAGAGCCAGCCCCGCACGAAGGGCTGAGCACAGACCCTGCCCGGGAAGGACCTTCCCCCCCCCCAGTGAGGGACGGACACGACACAAGCAGGGATGTCCCCAAGGAACAGAGGCAAGGTGCGATGGGGACAGGGACAGGGGTGGCTCCAGAGCGGGAGCAGCCTCGTGGCCTCCCCGGGAGGGCTCCGGCAGCGGCCGGGCCCCGGGAGCCGGCGTGAGCCCCAGCGCTGGGGGACAGATGCTGCTGCACCCCGTGACGTGCCGGGGCACATCCAGCCACACGGCCTCCAAATCAAAGGCGGCTGGGAAGAACCTTTCCACTCGCCAGGAGCAGCTCATATGGAGCACACGTGAGCGCCCGCCGAGGGAGCCGGGGGGCTCGCTCCCAGCTGGCCGGGGGATGGGGCCGCTGCCCGGCGGGGCGGACGAGCAGCAGAGCCTGCGAGCCAGACCCCCGGGGAGGAGCTGGCCGGAGGGAAGGGGGCTGTGAGCGCTGGGACGCAGCACTCGCCCTGCTGTGCTGCAGCCTGCCTGGTCTCAGCCTCTCCATCCCCACAACGGCACCTTTACTCCTGCCTGCATCCTCTCCTGGCAAAGGATGGGGAATGATGAAAGCTCCTCGCCACAGCCCCATCCTGCGGGGCCCAAAGAGAGCTCTGCTGCCTTTGAAGTTGCTTTCAAAGGCTCTCGAAATGAAGACGAACATGGTTTTGATTTGCAGCTTCTTTTACAGCGTTATAAAAACAGCTGCGAACTCGAACCAGAGACATAAAATAGCAGGCGGCAAGCTGTGCCGTGCGGGGAGAGCCGAGCCTGGCCGGAGCCAGCGCCAGCTCCCGCGCTCAGCATCGCCCTGGGGGCCGCAGGGTGCTGGCCAGTCCCGCAGCCTCAGCACCGCCGGGCAGCGAGGGGGGCTGGGGGCAGCCCGGGGAGCGCTCAGCACCCCGAGCTGCCGAGCCCTGGGGCTCAACACGAAACTCCCCTTTGAGAGGTGCCAGGGAAGCCGAGGTTGGACTCGGTGGCCAGCGGAGACGGCCGGACTGGGCTCGCCCGTGCGCGGGGTGGCCTTGCCCCCCGCCGTGAAGGTGCCCGGCCCCTGGGTGGGCTGCGGGCGCCCGGCGCAGCCCGGCGCACTCACTCCCCGTCCCCGTGTCTCTTCCTGCGGCAGGCAGCAGGGAGGCCGCCTTCGTCTACGCCATCTCCTCGGCCGGCGTGGTCTACGCCATCACGCGGGCGTGCAGCCAGGGGGACCTGAAGGCCTGCAGCTGCGACCCGCTGAAGAGGGGCCGCTCCAAGGACGAGCGCGGGGAGTTCGACTGGGGCGGCTGCAGCGACAACATCAACTACGGGATCCGCTTCGCCAAAGCCTTCGTGGACGCCAAGGAGAAGAAAGTGAAGGACGCCCGGGCGCTGATGAACCTGCACAACAACCGCTGCGGGAGGATGGTGAGTGCAGCCCCCGGCGCCTGGCCGGCCGTCCCGCGGGGCAGCGGGAGCGGCTGGGGGCCCGGAGCGGGACCCTGGGTGTCCGGGGAGGGCAGGTCCCGCTGGTGTCGGGGGCAGGACGCTGCCCTGCCTGCCCAGGGAACGGCCCCGCGGGGATGGCAGGACCCTGCTCGCCCATGTCCCCAGCATGTGTCCTCGCCGACGCTGGCACCGGCGACCCTGGGAACGCGTCCTCCCTTCGCAGCACCCGCTCCTGTCGGCAGCGCCCGCCCGCGCAGGCGGGGGCTGATGAGCTGCCCCAGGGACAAGCAGGCGCAGGCGCGGTGCCTGGCGCCCGGGGGGGCCACCGGTCCTCAGCGCACCCCTCTTCCCACAGGCTGTGAAGCGCTTCCTGAAGCTGGAGTGCAAATGCCACGGGGTCAGCGGCTCCTGCACACTAAGGACTTGTTGGCTGGCAATGTCAGATTTTCGAAAAACGGGGGATTACCTAAGGAAGAAATACAACGGGGCCATCCAGGTGACGATGAACCAGGACGGCACTGGCTTTACGGTGGCCAACAAGAACTTCAGGAAGCCCACAAAAACAGATCTGGTGTATTTTGAGAACTCGCCCGATTACTGCGTGATGGACAAGTCAGCAGGTAAAAACCAAAGCTCCAGTGGTTGCCCCAAAGCAGCTCTTCCTCCCCGCCCGGCAGGTCAGCAGCCCCCAGCCAGCCCAGCCTGGCAGGGCTGCTTTGGGACATCCCCGAGGGGGTGCTTGTGCTGTGGGGGGGTCGCCCAGGCCCCCAGCAGGTGCCGGTGCTCGGTGGAGCGCTGGGTCCCCACAGCACCTCACGCCTGCACAGACAGGACTGGGTTTGTCCAAAATCCCCCGGCTTTACACCAAAGATCCAAACCCATCAGGCCTCATAATGAATGCAGCGCAGCATTTCCTCAGAGCCTTTCCCCCGCGGAGCAAAACCCCCTCCAAGAGGCAGCAAAGAGCCCGTTCGCTGCGCCAGGCTGCCGGCTTCTCCTCCGAACACAGCCCGGGGCCGGGGGGGAGAGCAGGGAGGGCGGCCCCAGGGCTGCTCAGCTCCTGCATTGAAGCTCGATGGTTCCCCAGCCTGGAGCAGCCCCGGGTCGGGGGTCCGCAGCAGCCGGGGGGTGGTGGTGGGGGTTTGCTGGGGAAGGCAGCACGTGCTCCTGCCGCCCTTCGCCAGCTGCAAAGCCCCACTGGGCGGGCAGGCGCTGCTCCAGGACCCGCCCGGGCGCAGAGGGGCTGCCCAGAGCCCGGCCCCCCGCTCCCCGGGGCTGGCGGCTGCCCGGTGCTCCCGCTGGCGGCGGGGGGAACGCGGTGGGGGAGCAGCGCCCTGACCCGCTCTCGCTTCCTCCTCAGGCTCCCTGGGCACGGCCGGCCGCGTGTGCAGCAAGGCGTCCCGCGGGACGGACGGCTGCGAGGTGATGTGCTGCGGGCGGGGGTACGACACCACCCGCGTCACGCGCGTCACCAAGTGCGAGTGCAAGTTCCACTGGTGCTGCGCTGTGCGCTGCAAGGAGTGCGAGGACGCTGTGGACGTGCACACGTGTAAAGCACCGAAACGGGCCGAGTGGTTGGACCAGACCTGAGGAGACGGGAGCGCGGAGGGGAGGACCCGCTGCCACCCTCCCTCGCAGTTTTATAAACCCCTCTGCCCTGGGGGCCACGACATTCTGGGAGCTGTAGTTCAACTGCATGGCTTTTATTTAATTAATTCTGCAAAGCACTAAAGAAAGGACTACATTTCCCAGGAGGTACTGTGGACCCTTCTGTTTGCTCGGCAAAACTAATCCCCCACCCTAGGAGGAGTCTGCAATCCTTGCTTAAACTGTGAAACTGCCGTTGCCCGTTGTTCTCTTTGCAAAGGGACAGTGCAACCGATACAGACCTGGAGGACCGATCGTTGGGATGCTATGGCTGAGGACACCTGCACCTCCCCAGAGAATTTACATTGCAGTAAAGCTTCACTGGCGAAAAACACTAGTTCAGCATAACCCACTCCTGCAGAAAGCATTCTTGCTTCTACTCTTTTGCAAGGCCAGAGGAAGGGCGTCGCGGAGCCGGAAGGCAGCTCCGTGATCCCTGCGTTTCCCTGGAGCAGCCCCGGCACGCCGGCCGCACGCTGACCCCGAGCGACCCCTGCGCGAGGCCGCTCCCCGGCGAAGGCGAGAAGCGGAGCCGTAAATTGGAACTGAAACCCGAGTGATGCACAGTGACAAGGACCACCCCTAGATGCTGGCAGACACGGAGGGCTAGGGAGAGCGAACAAACCTGTGAACTTACTGGTAGGTTCTGAAGTCAACGGATACAAGAGCGTCTCTGTAAAACTCACTTGTATGTTGTGTATACTGCTTATTATTTTAAGTCAAAATTCATTATAAACCTGTATCAGAAAATGATGTTCTTTGCTTTTTGAATTCCTACACACCCGGTCGGGCACTTCCCCCGGCCCGCAGCATTTCCTCTACCTGCTTGCCTGCAGCTCCGCGGTCCTGGAGCACAGAGCCCCAGCTCGGGGTTATCTGTGGCGTCCCACAAAGCAGAGCCATGGCACCCAGCGTGCAGAGCCCCGGGGGAATCCTTCATTAGCAGCAGCCCGCGCCAGGACACCTGATGGCATAGCACTGGGTCGAGCAGGAGGTGACAGATTAGCTTCCGAGCCTTTCCTGTAAAACAAAACCAAACCCAACCCCAAAACTTAAACTATCAACCAAAATTGAAGCTGATGAGGAGGGGCAGGCAGCTGCAGAGCTGCCAGTAGATATGCTATGGAGACCAACCCCTCTTGTCGCTACGAATTTCCTCAATTCTTTTTTCCCCCAACTTCAGCAAGCGGTGATTACGAAGATTATTTAGCATACAGATATTTTATAGAGTCTAGTCAAAAGGTACCAATCCACACTAACAGACTCAATGTACAAAAAAGACAGTTGAAACTGCAAACTAAATTAATCCAGGTTAAAAAAACAACCAAACAACAAACCTCAGTCACTGCAATTCCTGAGCATTTGCTGAAGCTGGTGGGGTGTTTCCACACTTCGCCCCCAGAGCTCGGCTGCCCATTGCCCCGGGCAGGCTGTGCTTTCTCCCTGACCCAGGAAAAATGTTGCTAGTTTTCCTAATGCTGATAATCTTCTGCTGACGGGCAGGTGAGGATGTTTCACATACTCAGAGCAAGTTTTCCTGAAAGTTACAGGCTTAGAACAGCAACGGGAAAGGACAAGTCAACGCTAACGTTCACCTGTAAATACCTGGGGTCTGCTTCTCCCTGCTGGTGCTGCTGGGGGGCTGGCAGAGCTCCCCGAGGAGTTTTCTCCCGGCAGCAGCGAGATGTGTGGGCAGAGGGAGCTGAGCGGCGGCAGAGGGAAGGTAAAAGTAGCAGGATGGGATTAAGGCAAAGAAGATTATTCTGGTCCTAAACCACCCATCGGCTACTGCACGAAGAGCATCTCTGAATGGGGATTTTACCCAATGGCCCTAGGAAATACTAGCTTAAGTGGTGAGAGAAAACCAATTTGAAAACTGCTTTGATGGGAACTGCTCAAAGAATTTAAAGCGTCTGCCATGGGCAAGATTCGAGCACCTTCCTCGGTGCCAGACCACCGAGATTGCTCACGCGGAAAAGGACCTTCCGCAGAGCTGCTGCAGAGCCACGGACAAGCAAAAAGGGGTTGTTTGAACAGAGCTCTTAAAACAGTTACAGGAATCCCACCTCCCTGCTGCCTAACCCGTCTCTTACAGCATTAAACCATCTCCCTTTTGAACCCCGTACCGACAGCACCGGGGTGCCGAGCAGCACCTTTCGCCCTCTGCTCTTGCAGAACGCGCACTCGGGCCGTGCTCACCTGGGAGGCTCCCGGGTCCCACCCCAGGCCCTTCGAACCCCTCTGAATTTCAAGGAGAGGCAATTTCCCCGAAGATTTGCTCGTCTCGGCTGTGCGGAGGAATGCTGGCAGGTGAGCGGGAGGTCTGAGCCAGGCCAAAGGCATTTCAAGCCTGCCGTAGCACAGCGTCCGTCAGCACGCAGGCTAATCTACCGGGAAGAGCTCCCTCATTTATCTTCATTACTGCTCCACCTACCATCAATTTACGACAGACTTTAAAAAAAAATGCTGCCCCCTCGGCAATCAATCCAAGCCTCCCTCCCCGAGCAGGACACGCTCCGTGGGCTGGGAGGGACCCAGTGCCTGCGGACCCGGGCTCAGCCATCAATAAACATTTCTTCCTCTCCAGAGGACCCCGGGAGGTGTCTGCCAGCAGAAATACTGCTCCGCAGCAGATCCGCAGGCCCACCTGATGAGTGACACCTTAATCAATGGCTGCTCCCAAAGCATCCCCTTTGAATGCAGACGTTCGGCATTTTAAAACAAAGGAGAAAACTCCTGAGGACAGGTTGTCTTGTGTTTATTGGCTTCCTCCCTCCCCGCGCCCTCACTGAGGCACTAACACGGGGTGTCTTCAGCACTTTGTACCACCACCACAGGGGAGAAGGCGGCCCTCGGCAGCCCTGCCGCGTCCAGCAGCACGGTGGGACTCCCTGCCCAGCCGCCTTCCCCTGTCACAGCACAGCAGCAAATCCGAGTGGAAACACTCGGCAGCAGGTACCAGTGCTACAGAAGCACCGGGAGGAGCATCGTGGAGGCAGCCCGACGAGCCCGAGTCTACCCAACAGAAGAGGTGAGCGTTTCTTCTGCAAAGGGCTGTGCAGGACGACACGTGCTTCTCGTTTTAGCAAAATCACGGTGCCTGGGAATCAAAAATACAGCAGTTAGCTAGAGCGAACTCCCAGTGCTCGTGCAAGTGCACGTCCCACTGCAGGCCGAAGGGAAGTCAGACTGGTTTGTGTCCTTCCTGCAGATGAGCCCTACTGAAGCTCCCCTTCAGCACGCTCATCCTCAGCAGGCAGGTGTTTTCCGTCCATGAACGTTTATGAAGGCTGCAGTCTCGTCAGGGACCACTCAGTCCCTCTCACAAGCCCCTCAAGTAATCTGCCCAAAATGTGCAGGAGCCTTTCATGCAAGATCATCTTCTAATTATCCTCCAGTCAAAAGCATGTCTGAACTCAAGGACAAGGAGCAGAATTAATTGCTCAGGGGGCTTCTGAATAAATTACCTTCTCTGAAGAAGCTGGCTAGGACACGCGGGAGGAGGTAGAAGGCATTGGAAACACGGGATCTACATAAACTCGGGGTATCTTCTCTACTAAACCACATGCGAGTGAGCGCGGGCCTTAGCCCGGGTGGCACCACCATTTCTCTGGTTGGATGTAGTGACAAGATCGATTAAGTGTTGGAGCAGCGTGTCTGCACTGCTCAGCTGCAGCCAGCCCCCCTTGCCCCTGCCGTGGGCCCTTTCTGCTCACCACCACGTTCACACGCATGGGAAGCGCTTTGCTCGCGTACCTGTGCCAGCGGCAGCGTGCTCTGCTCCCAGGGACGGATTTGTTGGGGCATTTTGACTAACGTGCATAACCTGTCAAGATCGTGTGGGGGCTTTCACAGCCCTTATTCCTGCAGCCGAGCCTCGGAGGGCTGCTCCAGCTAGCAGCAGGGGGGTTACTGCTCTGGAATCTCAGCTGGTGAGTCAATGCAGGAGAATGCAATAGTCACAAACTGTGTCACACTCTTTTATAACCGATGATAGACTACAGCCAAATTAGAAAAGAAATCCAGAGGTTCTTAAGAGAAGGGTCCGAGCTGATGAGGCCACAGTATGATTGCACAACTCATTGCATCCAGAGTGAAAAGAAAATGTCATTGGCCAGAAATAACCAAAGCAAGAAGATCCCCAGCGGAGGAACATACTCATCTTCCTGGGTGCACCCTCACTGACGCGGGAAGCGTGGGTGTGTTATCCAGCTTTCCCCAACGACCAGACTTGCCAAAAGGCCTACCAAAAATCACAATACAACAATCGAGGCCAGAAATGAGGAAAACTCCAAGTACATGAGCAGCATCCCTGATCACCATCGTCCTCATGCAGCGCCGAGGGCTGGGGCACGCGGAGCACACCCCGCTCAGGGAAGGGAGGAGGGAGCCTGGAGACAGAGCTGGAAACTGAAGGTGCCTTTCCTCTCGAGTCACCTTAATAAAAGTTGGGTGAATTCAGCCCACGGAAGACTGTGCCCAGAAACCCACTGCGACTGCTAATGTCGGTGTGACCTGATGTTTAGAGCTTTCTGACCCATGAGCAGAAGATCAGAACAGCTCGCACGTCACCTGTGCAGCCACCCAGCCTTAACCGCAGCGCGAGGAGCCGCTCTGCCCTTCCCCGCACATCAGCACGGGCTGGGGGGACCGCGAGGTGCGTCTCCCCTCAGGTGTCACCTGCAGGCAGGGGGAAGGGCAACATTCATTTATGTCTGCGCCAGCCCCGTCCCTTCTTCTTCTTTTCTCTGCAGCAGCAGCTTGCTCTCCGGTTTGACCTCTTCAGCCTGGCACCGGAGGTGGATGATGCAGTTTGTGGAGAGGTGCGGGCACTTCACTCTCCCCCTCCCCTTGGAATCTTCCTCTCACTTGTGGTCCTTGGGATTCACCCAATGTTTCTCAGAAAAAAAAAAAAAAAAAAAAAAAAAAAAGGACCTCAAGACAAGTATGCATTTAATAAGCAGCGAGACAAATAAGCTTCAGTTATCCCAGCAGAATTACAACACCAGAGAACAATTTTCTGCATTCCTCTGAAGGCCTGAAGAAACCCAATTGCCTGCTCTCAGCCTAAATAGGTACCAGACACCAAGAGCTCCATAAGCAAACAGAGCCCCCAAAGTGCAAAAATGAAATAAGTAAAAAGCTTCACATTACATATAAACCAGCCGTTTGCACCTTGTTATTAATGGTCTTGACTATGACCTTTAAACCCTGCCTTGCTCAGAGTCATGGATCTACGAGCCTTGGCACCCTCACAACAATCCCAGGACGAGGAGCAGGGAATAAACAAGCCCGGCCAGCGCCGGAGGAGATGCGGGAGGGGAACCGGCCCGCGACAAACCCGGACCAAGAGCCGCTCCCGTGCAGCAGCCAGGGCTGAGGTGACCATCTCCGCTATGAATTTGTTAATATGACCCCAATGACCGGGGTTTCTGATGGCATGAAAAGTCCTGTTGCCACTCAGATATGCGCATAAAAGCTAGGAACGCATGCACCTATCTCCAGTCTCGAAGAACGAAGGGCTCACAGCACAGTAAACAAGTGCAGGAGAGCTCATGCCCCAGAGGATAATTCCGATGTGGTCTCTAAGCCCCCATGAGCTAGAGCGGCCCTGAGCAGACCCCCTTGTCCACAAGTATTTATTACTCTCAACTGCCTCACTTCTGCTTTAAGAGTTTTATTATTAGAGTAGCGCCAACAGCCAGTAGAAAGTTTTACCCCTTTAAAGCCGTTTGGTACAAAGTCACCATCTCTGGAGGAGACGACCCTGCAACACCAGTGGGCAGAGGGGGCTGGGGAGGCACACGGGGGGGGGGGGGGGGGGGGCTGGCTCCTGCACCCACCCTGCCCCGGGCCGGCGGCAGCACCCGCCGCGCCGAAACGGCACACGCGCCTGCTTGCACAAAGGGGCCAGTGCAGCCACTCCGCCAAACTTCCCAGCTCCTCAGCCAATGCAGGTACAGAGGAATAGTTCACCTGACGGACCTCTGTCAGGCTCAGAGGATCAGTGTGTCAGTGACAGCAAATAGCCAATGGCATTTAGGTATTAACTTCCAAATACTTCAGTTAAAGTCAGCCAGCGTTAGAACGCTGTTTCAGTAACAAGCTCACAAATCATGCTCCAGGTGCATATGCAACAGAAGTCCTGATCCACAAAAATCTTGAGACACTTTTCATTAAAATCAGTGGTAAAATAGGGAGATTCGCACAAGAGAACAGCTCTGTGGAAAGGGACCTGGGGGGACAAGCAGCTCGTTCCGAGTGACCAGTGTGCTGCAGGGGCACAGCAAGCCAACGGGGTGCGTCAGCAAGGGCACTGCCAGCAGGGAGAAAGAAGTCAGCACCCCACTCTGCTGGGCACCTGCCAGGCCACACCAGCAATACTGCGGGCAGGGCTGGTGCCACTATACAAAAAGGCTGTGGCCAGGCTGGAGAGGGCCCAGGAAGGGGCTGCAGAGACGAACACGGGCCTGGGCAGCCGTGGGAGGAAAGAGTGAGAGATCGGGTTTGTTCAGCCTTGAGAAGAGAAGGCTTAGGGGAGACCTTATCCCCCATGTTCCAGTATTTGCAGGGTGGCTACAAAGAACAAGGAAGCTCCCTTTCGACAAGGAGTCACACAAACGGATGAGGGGTAAGGGGTACAAGTTACTCCTGGGGAGATCCTGACTGGACACAAGAAGAAAAGAAGTCACCACAAGAACAATCAGCCACTGGAATAATCTCTCCAGGGAATGGTGGATTCCCCAACACTGGACACTTAAGATTCAGCTGGACAGGGTGCAGGGCCAGCTTGTC